AAGGAAAGGAAAGGAAGAAGGGAGAGGGAGGGAGAAAGGAAGGAAGGAAAGAAAGGAAGGGAGGGAGGGAGGGAGAAAGGAAAGAAGGAAGGAAGGAGGGAACGGAAGGAAGGAAAGGAAGGAAAGGAAGAAGGGAGAGGGAGGGAGAAAGGAAGGAAGGAAAGGAAGGAAGGAAGGAGGGAAAGGAGGGAGGGAGGGAGGGAGGGAGGAAGGAAGGAAGGAAGGAAGGAAGGAAGGTTCCCCATTGACAGTGGAGGCCATGGGTATTGTTTCAAGGAATGGGATCCCATTCAACAGGACGTAGTACTTTGGGGGTGCACCTTCTTTCAAAAGTGGGGCAGCTGTCTTTCAGAGTTTTTCTTCCAACTCTATTATTGTTATTGTTAAGTCATTTAGACCCAAACAATCTGAGTTATTAATTAATTATCTGGGTGAGCTGGATAAGGGTGTTTGCAGAAGTATGCTGCACTCCTTATTGACTGAGTTAATTAAGATGATGCAAGCACAAGATTGGACAACATAAGTTTCAGATTAATTCTGGGTATTTGCTTTATTATAAAAAAAGGTTGTTTTCAAGCTGCACCTGCATAATTGGCTAAGCTCGGTTAGAATTAACCTTGATTAGTTTATTGTATTGAGTGAATTGAAACTGTTTGATTCGTTTATTGTTCAAATGCATTGTGTGAATCCAGAACATGGGTTAATTCAGGGAGCAGCTTAAGTGTTGTGTATACGGAGTTAAAAATAAATAAATACTTGCCCTACACTGTTTATTGCAACACTATGCCACTGATTCCGTAAAGACAACTGAACTTTAACAGCAACCAAAATATTCACGGTAAGAAGATTGAAGCCATTTACACAATTACAATGCTTTGTTGCATAAAACAACGTAACTACTAATCGGAAGAGTAGTGTTTTTAATTTAGTCACCATCCAGGACCAAACAGAATTCAATAATAAAATTACAGCCAGTTTGTTTGATAATAATCTATATATACTGAGAGAATCTAATCCAAATACTGAGAGAATCTAATCTAAAGTCTGTAGATAATAACACAAATTTTAAAAACATGATACCAGTACAATTACAAAGACAGGACAGAACACAGCGGAATATAGATTTATATAATTTGTCTGTTAACGTCTGAAATTATATGAAATAACTAAAATAGTTAAGAATAGTTAACATGAAACATACAAATATACAATCATTATCTTATTACAAACTACACCCATAATATCAATGTTGTAATTATATAAATCTATAAAAGCATGGTGTAAAACACAGCAGTACATGTATAAGAAAGGAATATCAATAATGAAAAAACTAAATAATGAAAACAATGCAAATGTATGAGCGAAGTCATGCTTTGGCAAGATAACGAAGAAATAACTATTTACATTTATAAAAACAATAGATAAATTCTTCCAATTAACCAGCCATGGATCCTTGTTCAAAATTCTGCCCTTCTGAGATTCTGACTCTATATACACAGCACACAGATAAGGTCATGAAACATAAATGTGTATTTTGTGAACACACACACAGGCAACCCACTTAACAAACCCATAGTGCGTTAGATTTAGCTCCAAATAGGCCTGGTTTTGTTTATGAACAAAGGTCACTTCCCCAAATTCAATACTATGAATTTACAGTAACGGACTCTTCTTGTTAAGCAGATAGATGCAAAATCCTAGAGTGGTCTCATTTTCATGGGTCCTCCTGGATCCTCTAGTTAGTTTTCGTTTCATTGAGGGATGAAACCCAGCTTGATGTTGTTGTGAAGGTGCTGGACTATAAACTAGTAGACAAGTTCTAGTACCGCTTTAGGCTGGGTTACTTTGGGCCAATTATCAGGAGACGGTGAATTCTAGTCCCGCCTTAAGGCATGAAAGCCAGCTGGGTGACTTTGGGCCAATCACCAGGAGGTTGTGAGTTCTAGTCCCATTTTAGGCATGAAAGCCAGCTGGGTGACTAAGGGCCAATCACCAGGAGACGGTGAGTTCTAGTCCCACCTTAGACATTAAAGCCGGCTGGGTGACTTTGGGCCAATCACCAGGAGACGGTGAGTTCTAGTCCCACCTTAGACATTAAAGCTGACTGGGTGACTTTGGGCCAATCACCAGGAGACGGTGAGTTCTAGTCCCGCCTTAGATGTTAAAGCTGGCTGGGTGACTTTGGGCCAATCACCAGGGGCTGGTGAGTTCTAGTCCCACGTTAGGTGACTCTGGGTTGGTCATCCTCTCTCCGCCCAACCCAAAGGGTTATTGTGAGGAAAATATAAGGTAGAAGCCTTCGGTATAAACACGATGTATTTCGTTGTTTTTTTTTTAATTTTTTATTTAAATTTTCAATACATATATACATTATATAAAAAGCGATTCATTTATGCATTGCACAAAAGACAGCATAGGCAGGATGTATTGTGTGAAGGCAGTCTGTGTGGAAGAGCCCTTAATAAGGCCCTAATTTCTCTGTACACGTACTCCTTGACCTACAACAATTCATTTAGTGACCATTCAAAGTCACGATGGCACTGAAAAAAGCGACAACTGTTTTTCACAGTTACGACCTTTGCAGAATCCCCACGATCACGTAATCACAATTCAGGCGCTTGACAACTGACTCGTATTTATGACGGTTGCAGTGTCACGCGATCCCCTTTTGCGACGTTCCGACGAGCAAACTCAACGGGGAAGGCCAGATTCACATAACAAGTGTTTTACTAATTTAACATTGCAGTGATTCAAGAACGATGGCCAGGAAGGCCATAAAACGGGGCAAAACACACTTCAGAATTATCTTGCTTAGCGACAGAAATGTCGGACTCCATCGTGGTCATAAGCCGAGGACCCTCTGTATATTGTGTGAAAGCAGTTTGCATTGAAGAGCCCTCAAAGAGGCCGTCACGCCTCTGTTAATTCCGTAACTTCAAAGAGTTTAGGCACATCCTTTCTCATTGTGACCCCTTCGGCGAAACCCGACGTAAAGAGGGACACTGTTGAAAATCAGCTATTTAAAAGTTTGTACAATTTTTTTGTGTGTGTGTGGTGGGATGTGTGTGTTACGGAAACAAGAACAAAAAATTTAATAACAGGGAGAAATAATCTCCCCTCCCAAACAGAGACAAGCAAGATGATCCAGGAATATAATGGAGCCCAGGATTTCTGTCCTTAAGCAAGTTTGGCTCCAGTGTACGACCTTTCTCGCCGTCGTTAAGCGAATCACTGCACTCGTTAAGTTAGCAACATGGTCATTATGTAAATCCAGCTTCCCCCATGGACTTTGCTTGTCATAAGGTCCCAAAAGGGGATCTTGTGACCCCCCCCAGGGACGCTGCAACCGTCATAAATATGAACCACTTGCCGAGTGTCCGAATTTTGGTCATGTAACGAGGATGCTGAAACACTCCTAAGTTTGAAAAACGGTCACGTCACATTTTTCAGGGCTGTTGTAACTTCGGTTGCTAAACAACCTGTTGTAAGTCGAGGGCTATCTGTAACTTTGAATGGGATGCTGCGAAGGACGGTCACAAGCCACACTTTTCAGGGCCGTCGTAACTAAACTGTTGTAAGTCAAGGACTATGTAACTTTGGGATGCTGCAAAGGATGGTCGTAAGTCACAGTTTTCAGGGCTGTCGCAACTTCGGTCACTAAACAAATTGTTGTTGTCAAGGACTATCTGTAACTTTGAATGGGATGCTGCAAAGGACAGTCGTAAGCTGCATTTTTCAAGGCTGTCTCAACTAAACTGTTGTAACCAACCTAGAACAAAGGAGAAACTTCTTGACAGAACAATTAACCAATGGAACAACCTGCCTCCAGAAGCGGTGAATGCTCCAACACTGGAAGTTTTTAAGAAGAGACTGGACTGCCATTTGTCTGAAATGGTGTAGGGTTTCCTGGCTGAGCAGGGGGTTGGACTAGATGACCTCCAAGGTCCCTTCCAACTTTATTATTATTATTGATCATCACATAGTCAGCCAGATGTTCAGGCTGGATTTGGTATTTTGTCTACCTATCGAGTCCTTACCCAGGACCTGGGATAGGCAGATGTGGATGTTTGATGGTATTACAGATCTCGTCGCAAGATGGAAGCAGTTCCTAATAAGGCTGCCTTTTGCAATTGACTAATAGCAAATTTGTCAATGCCAATGGTGTTCAAGTGGTGCTCCAGTTGTTTTGGGATTGCACCCAAGGCGCCCATGACTATTGGTACTACCCTTGCTTGCTTTTGCCACAGTCTTTCTATTTCTATTTGTAGGTCTTTGTATTTTGTTCTCTTCTCGGTTCTTTCTCGTCTATTCTGCTGTCTCCAGAATATTATTATTAAGTTGAGAACTATTATTTATTATTATTATAATTCAAGAACTATTATTATTATAAGTCAAGAACTATTATTATTTATTATTCTAAGTTGAGAACTATCTGTAACTTTGGGATGCTGCAAAAGACGGTCACAAGTCACACTTTTCCAGGCCTTCCCAAACGCAGTCGCTAAACCAGCTGTTGTAAGTCGAGGACTCCCTCACGTTGTAGCCCCCCCCACCTACCCCTCCTCTTTTGGTGCCCCCCTCACGGGTCTCCCCCAGCCCCTTTTCACCCCTTTGCCCTCAAGCTGCGTCCCGAGGGAGCCTCCTCGCTTCTCCCCCACTCGCCGGCCAGGAACGGGGCGCCTGCCCCCCCCAAGGACGACTCTTCCCCACGACCTCCGCACCCCCCGAGCCACGCTCGCTCGCCCGCCCGCTCTTCCCCCCAGCTGCTTCAGGCGCAGCTGCCCGACGGGACTGACCGAGCAGCTGCAGCCGCCGGGCTTTTATACCCAGCCGCTCCGGCGCACCGCCCCTTCCCACTCCTGAGAGGGTGAATGGGCGTGGCCTCCCGCCCAGCGCCTCCCCTGATTGGGCGTCCCCCTCCCGGGCCGGAGGCGCGCGCCGACGCCGCATCCCTGGCTCGACGCCGAGCCGCGTCGGTCATTGGCTGCCGCCCCCTTTGTCAGGCGAGCAGCTGCGGGCTCAGCTCCCCATTTGAATGGAGCGAGGGGAGCGGCCAGGAGCCGCGTCCAGGGGCCAGCCGCCTTCCCGGAGCCCCCCGACGCCGCCGACGCCTCTCCCGGAGCAGCAGCCGAGCCAGCGCCGGGCCCCGTCGCGGGGGGACGGCCGCCGCCGCCGCCGGGGCTGCTAGCTGAGCGCCGCCGCGGAGGAAGAGGAGGAGAAGGAGCCGAGCGGGCGATCAGCGCCGGGCACCGTACCGCCTCGCCTCGTCGTCGCCGGGCAGGATGGTTTTGGTTCACGTCGGCTATCTTGTTCTTCCAGTGTTCTCTGTGCGAAACAGAGGTATTCTCGCTTTCTCGTGTCGTTCCTTTGGCCAGCCTGCCAGACGGCCGGGGCTGGGTGGGCAAGCGGGGCTCGTGTGAACGCCTTCCTGGCGGGTCAGAGGGGAGAGGGGGAGAGGTCGAGGGGGCGGGGAGGGGGAGGCAGAGAGAGAGAGAGAGAGAAAGGAGGGAGGGAGAGGGAGGCAGAAGGAGAGGGAGAGGAAGAAGGGAGGGAGGCGGAGAGAGAGAGAGAGAGGAAGGGAGGAAGGGAGAGGCAGAAAGAGAGAGAGGGAGGCAGAAAGAGAAAGGAGAGGGGAAGGAGGGGGAGGCAGAAAGAGAGGGAGAAGGACAGAAAGAAGGGAGGGAGGCAGAAAGGGGGAGGCAGAGGGAGAGAAAGGAGAGAGGGAGGGAGGGAAGGCAGAGAGGGAGGGTGGGGAAAGGAGAGGGGGAGGCAGAAAGAGGGAGAGAAAGAAGGGAGCGACGGAGGGAGGGGAGGCAGAGGGAGAGAAGAGAGGGAGGAAGGAAGGGGAGGCAGAAATAGAAGGGAGGGAGGGTGGGGGAGGCAGAAAGAGGCAGAGGGAGAGAAAGAAGGGAGAGAGGGAGAGGAGGGGGGGAGGGGAGGCAGAAAAAGAGGAGGGAGGGAGGGTGGACGAGGTAGAAAGAGAGAGAGAAAGGGATAAAGGAGGGAGAGGTAGAAAGAGACAGGGAGAGAAAGAAGGGAGAAAGGGAGGGAAGAGAGAGAAAGAAGGGAGGAAGGGAGGGAAGAGAGAGAGAGAGAGAGAGAGAGACGGGGAGGAAGGGGAGGCAGAAAGAGAGAGAGAAAGAGGGGGGGGGAGAGAGGGGAGGGGGAGGCAGCGAACGCGTGTCTGTCTTGGGCAAGGCGAGGGGTCCCGCGGAAGGAACAATACGCCCCCTCCCTCCCTGCCTCTCCCCCCTCCAAGGCGAGCGAGGGGGCGAGAGGGAAGCCAGGGGGAGGCTTGCAAAGCAGGATCTGGGGACAAAAGGTGCGAAGGGGGTCGTGGGGAGGGGGCGACCCCAGCCTTCTGCTGCTTCTGCTGGAGAGGCGGGGGAGGATCCGGATGGAAGGATCTCCTAATCGGGGATCCAGGCGGGGCAGAGGAAGGCGGATCGAGGAAGGCGGGGGGGGGGGAAGAGGAGAAGAGATCCACCGCCCTCCCGGGTGTGGGTGTGTGTTGGCGGGGGTGGGGTGGGGGTCTTGAGCTTCGGGGGCTCCTCCTGGGTTCGGGAAGAATGGGCAGCCCCTCCCCTCGTGCTCCCCCCACCCCCCTCTATTTTCTCTCTCCCGGTGGACCCCTCCCACTGTTTTCTCCCCCCCCCCGGCCTAACAATAATCGATTCCCTCCCTGCCTCGATCCTTTTTCTACGACCCAGATCGTTACCAGCTTCTTGGGGGGCTGGGGGGGGGCTGGCTGGCGGGGGGGGGGGAAGCGGAATTGTTTTTTGGGGGGGAGGGTCGAGCAGGCATGCCCTACCTGCTGCCCCCTTGGGAGGGGTCGTTCCGTGCAGGAATAAGGGGGTGGGGGGGGGTCTCTGCAATGGATCCGGATCCCCTCGGAATCCGGAGGAAGCTTTTGTAAGGGGGGGGGGAAGCGCCTCTCCTACCTATTTCCCAGCCCCCCCCCTTTTTTTCCCTCTGCCTCCTTGTGAACTCTGCTTAACCCCCCCCTCCTCCCCGGTCGGGGATCTATTTTTATATTGGCTTCTCCAGCGAATTTGATTCCTTTTGGGGGGGGGGGGCTGGCTGGCTGGCTAGGTGGGTAGGTGGGTGTCAAGGCTTTGCCCCTCCTCGTTTTTGTTCCGGTTATGGTTTCCTAACGAGGTGCATTCTCTCTTACCCCTCCCCACCAAAGACCCCCCCCCCTCCCCAGTGATCTCTGCTTCTCCTTTTGGGATTTCCACCTGGCCATCCCAACTCTTAAGCCGAGATGCCCCCACAATTCCCTGGAGAAATCCTAAACCTCTGGCTTAAAGGGGGGGTCTCTCTCTCTCTCCCCCCCCCTTTCCCTGATTCCAAGGGACTTTTAATATGGGATGTGTATATCTCTGCATATTCCCCCCCCCGCGCATATATTTCTCCATTCCACCCGTTTCCCACAAGCAACACAAAAGGACTGGAGTCTTGATTCGTGCCTTCCATTTGGCTCTGTTCCTTCCCTCCCCATCCTTTTAATTTCCTTCTCCATCCGGATCCAAAAACTGGCTCTTCATCATTCTTTCCTTCTCTCCCCCCCCTCCTACCGACCCCCCCCTTGAGATTACAGACCCTTCTAGAGTGGATGGACTCCCCCTGGACCCTTTTTTTTTTAACTTTTAAGAAGCTGATGATAGAGGTTGCTTTTACTGCACCCAGCCTGGGAGGGTCATTTCCACCAAGGTGGGGTGGGGCTTAGAAAAGGGGTCCCCAATTCCCCTAGGCTGTGGACCGGTACCGGTCACGGCATGCCACCCAAGCAAGCAAAGCGCCATCCCGTGGGATGGAGGCAGCACACAAAAAAACCATGCGGAAAAATCTTGGAACCGGTCCCTGGGGCCCCAAAAGGTTGGGGACCTCTGGTTTAGAGTCTCCTGCTTGAGCAGGGGGTTGGACTAGAACAAGGGTCCCCAACCCCCAGTCTATGGACTGGTACTGGGCCGTGGCATGCCAGCAACTGGTCTGCACAAACAAGCAAAGCCCCATTCATGGGATGCAGGCAGCACACACAACCACACATTCTCCGGTCCGTGGGAAAACCTCTCTCCATGGAACCGGCCTCTGGGGCCCCAAAAGGTTGAGGACCCCTGGTTTAGAGTCTCCTGCTTGAGCAGGGGGTTGGACTGGAACAAGGGTCCCCAACCCCTGGGCCACGACAACCGGTCCACACAAACAGGCAAAGCTCCATCCGTGGGATGTAGGCAGCACACAAAACCACGCATTCTCTGGTCCGTGGGAAAACCTCACTCCACGGAACCGGTCCCTGGGGCCCCAAAAGGTTGAGGACCCCTGGTTTAGAGTCTCCTGCTTGAGCAGGGGGTTGGACTGGAACAAGGGTCCCCAACCCCGGGCCACGACAACTGGTCCGCACAAACAGGCAAAGCCCCATCCGTGGGATGCAGGCAACATACAAAACCACGCATTCTCCGGTCCGTGGGAAAACCTCTCTCCACGGAACCGGTCCCTGGGGCCCCAAAAGGTTGGGGACCTGTGGTTTAGAGTCTTCTGCTTGAGCAGGGGGTTGGACTAGAACAAGGATCCCCAACCCTCGGGCCACAGCATGCCAGCAACCGGTTTGCACAAACAGGCAAAGCCCCATCCCTGTGGGATACAGGCAGCACACAAAACCACGCATTCTCTGGTCCGTGGGAAAACCTCTCCACGGAACCGGTCCCTGGGGCCCCAAAGGTTGAGGACCTCTGGACTAGGAGAGGAAAGCTTTAAATCCAGGAGCAGAATCCTGTCCCTTCACCTGGGTAAACCTTTTTGACAAACCCTTTCCCCTTTTGAAAGCTCCCCCCCCTCTGATCTTGGCTAAAAAAAGGTGGGAGGCTGGCCCTTTAAGACAGCCGTGTCAGCTGGAACTCAAAAAGACCCCAACATTGTTCAATTTCTTGCAGTTTTCTCCCACCCTCTCCCGCCCTCCTGAACGAGGATGGGACGGGAGGGGGGGGGTGGCTGCTTCTTGCATTGATCCAAACTTGTTTTTTTTTCCTTTATTGTTTTTGATTTATTTATTGAGTTTTTCTTCATTGTGTAGATCCGTGAATGGTCCACCTGCTGCCCTGTGTTGCCTTGTAGTTCTCTGGCTCTGCATTTTAGCTCTAATGTTGACACCCCTTCCTTTAACCATTTCCTGTACCCATCTGAGAAAACGCAGTGGCATTTTAAGTAGAAGTATCCTCTCTTCTGCAGATCTAAGGGGCAAAGGGGTGGGTGGGTGAGTGGGTGGGTGGGGGCAGGAAAGCAAACTTAAATTGCTAAGCCTTTTAAACAGTGGGGGAGTGAAATTCCTGCTCTTTCTTGTGTGGCTTCGAAGTGGGGGGAAAAAAAGACAAAAGATTAAACACAAAGAAAGAAAGAGAAAAAGAAAGAAAGAAAGAAAATGGTTTTCTGAGATTTATTGATGAAGATGCAACCTTCATCACAATCATGCTTTTTTTAAAATAAAAATAAATGGGCAGGATATAATTTCAGAATGAGTTCTTGTAAATTGGGGATGAAAAAAAATCTGTTCTGCTTTCTTTCTTTTTTCTTTTTAAAAAAAATGCTTTTGTTTCGGAAGAGACGGCTTCTCTGCTCTTTGGGTTTTGTTAAGTACACAACACACCCACTGAGAATCCATTGCAAAGGCATGTGGCATTGGAATTATCCAAGTCTTTTTTTTGAGAGAGAGGATACTGACGCTTAAAACCGAAGCCCTGAAAACCACCAAGCTTCTTGTGAAAAATAAAAATAAAAATAAAAAAAAATAGCAGACAGACCTGATTGTTCAATCGTGTTTCTCTTTAGCTGTCATTGTTGTAGATTAGGAAAAAAAAACCTCAAAAAAAAAAAAAACCAAAAACCCAGGCCATTTTCAATATAGCTGTAGTTTTATAACGCCATTTTTTTTGTATCTTCATCCTGTTTAGAGGAATACATTTGCACTGTAAATTCCTGTTCAGTGGATTCATTTTGCTTTCGTTTGGGGTGCTCGCTTGGATCAACACTACCCAAATCTTCCTGTTTTGCAATGCACAATAGCTTTCCAGTTTAAAGAAATCCTGGCTCTTAAAAAAAAAAAAAATTGGATTTACAACGTGGCCATTAAGAGCAGGCACACACTGTGGCTTGTGCCAAGCTTTATTTAAATTTATTTCCCGGTGCACACAAAAGGATTCCGCACCTTTGCACACTGCATGTTACATATGAATGCCACACAGACGGGGAACATATACCCCAAACCAGCATCCTTGGCCACAAAATTGGGCTTGCAATATTTTCATAGAAAGCTGGTCCCCAGCCCCCCCCCAGTTTGGCACCCACTA